AGTTGGCAGAATTGTTTGTGTTATGCCGAAATTATTCCTAGGTCACCTTTGGTTATTACTAACATGTGTTTGTGACTTCAGGTTTGTGTCATGTCTGATGAGGACCCTGGCTGTTAGCACACTAAGACCTTAGCCTAAAATGCTGATGTGTAGACTTTGGGAACCTCAAAGACTTCATTTGTTTTTCAGTACAGCTTCCAGAAAAGTAAAGATATTTTAAATCTGTATTTAAGGAAATACATGAAGGCCACTGAGTAACACTTCTTCAACCTGAGTGATTTATTAACATCTGAGTTCAGTAATAATATTTACCCACCTTGCTGAGTATCTCTGGAGCATGCCTATCAGGAGGCATATAGTTACTTTGGCAGAACATGCACATACTTGAGTTATCAATTGAACTGTTTAATCCCATTATTATTTCCAATGCTCTAGCCAAGCCTTTGCCACCTAAAAGAAGATTTGCCTTTTACTCATTTTCACTTCAAGGTAGAACCCTATGTGTGACTCTAAACAGCAGGAATGTGGGAGATGAGATGATGTTGCCCATGAACCGAAAATATTTAACCAGATTGTGAAATTTGTTTCTTGAAACAGAAGCAGAATCATTTATATAAAATCACTAGTGGAAGTATGACCTGACAATTCTGTGAAAAAAATATATGTAGTGTGTGAAATATAATATCTATAAGTACATACATATATCCCTATACACATACCTCTATAATACAAAGTGTGACTTTACACAGAGTTTTTTCTGGATGGTTCCTAAAGGCTGGACTCCTGGCCTGTCATTCCTAAGCTTATGCTCAGGGGCAGTGGCTAGGTGCAGACTGCACTCTTGGCAGATTTTCTTTTCTGAATGTTCAAGGTTTGCTTATTAAATCGTAATTCTTCAAAACCAAGGACTCCCTTGCTTAAGTTCCTAAGATTTCCCTGGTTTCTGCCCCCATTTGAAAAAGCAATAATTTCTTTATTATTTTTGGATGACCTATTTTTTAGGTATTCTTTGAAATATAATTCTTGGGTTTTTGTTTGTTTGTTTGTTTGTTTGTTTGTCTGTTTGTTTCAAGTTGTGGTTCCTATAGACAAGACTATCTCAAACTTGCTGTTCAGATGATGACCACAGATTACTTAAAAATGCAGGAATAAGAGACCCAAAGGTGGGGTTTTGAGAGAAAGGACCAAGTGAGAGAAATAAAGAAGACAGATATCTGGGTCTTGGAGAACATACATAAGCTGATGAATTATGCCAAGCAAGTTTGATAATCAGCATACCTTGTTTCATGCTATTTATAGGGGAAAATCATCAAGGTCAGTTAAGAGCTAAATCAATGTTCAGCAAAGAGACCCCAAGATACCTCAAACACAGCTGCCTTAGGACTGATAACCACAACCCAGTGAAAAGAGTAGGATCCCCAGAAACTGAAACCTTATCTTCTTAGAGGCCCCTGTTCCAGACTCAGAGAGGAGTTGGTCAAATCTGTTTCTGGAATGCCTCAGAACTGACATGTCTTTATTCTTTTGCAATGTTGTCTGAGAGAACTTTGGATTAATCTGAATCAAACAGGATCACCCCCACTTTTTAATTTACATGGCCAAATGGATTATTTGAGTCTAAATATTTAAGCGCTCCGGATACCCCTTAAACCAGGAAATGCCTTCTAATATTGTCAGATGAATTACCAACACAAGTAATCTGTGGAGTATACTCAACAAATATTTAGCAATGTTTAAGAAATTACATAATTGCAGTTTGTGTAATAAATTCTTGGCTGGCTGAAAAGTTCAATTGAATGTATGATGAGCAAGGCCCATGTCAGTTACATTTACTTGAGGGTTAAGAAATACAACCTAACATTCTCATGTTTCATGTTCCCTGAAAATGATTTTAAATTCTTTCCATTTCCATTCCTATTCATCATAATTTAAAGGAGCAGTGGAGATGTATCTAAAGCCAGCATAACACTGTAAAGATGATTAACATTGCATTGCTTGTATTGTATCTCCTATGTTAAATACAAAAATTTTTAAAGCATTTAACTTAACTTCTAGTTGTTATTTTTATTTTTATTTATGTTCTTGTGATACCAGAGCTACAGAAATGTTATAAGGAATATGATTTTCAAAATGAGCACTATGCACTTGTTTGGCAAGGGCCACTGTGGAAACAGCCTCTGACTTGAGAGCTGCAAGTACTACGAAAATTATAGTTAAAATACTATCTAGAAATCTTTTTTTTAGTAAAAGCCTAATGTAGTTCAAAGAAAACTTGTTGTACAAAGTCACAATACTTAAAGTATTATTAGTTTGTACAGAACCATATCAAAGGAAGACTGTTAAAATAAAAGAAGGCTCCCATGAGCAATGGCATCTATACAATTAGTGAGGTAATATTGAAGTGTTCCCCATTCCTTTAACAGAAGGACTCTCAGTCAGTTACATATATGGACAGGTAACACAAGCAGTGAGGCCAAATACAAAATGATATGCATGCCATGGTTGGTCATCTTCTCTAAAATCCCATAGGTCACCCTATTATACAGGATTGTGGCTCCCAACCTAAGGTCCCTTTGAACCTTTTCCTCTCAAGATAGTCTAAACAGAACATGGCCAATGAGAGGATTCTAGGATATTATCTTCATCCAGACTAGATGGGCAACCCAAAGACAATTCAACCAGCACTACAGATCATCTATTCAAAGGCATGGAGTACTTTAGAATCATGGAGCAAGCCCTCCACGGGGATTCCATTCTGAACCAGGGCACAGGATAATAGCTGCATTCTAGGAAATGTCCATACAAACTGGTAACTTATGGGTTATCAGAATGATGAATGAGTTGATGATGCTTGATTTTTGATCCCACATACCCTCTTAAACTATAGGCCTTCCCAGTCTCTCACATCAGAAGAACACAGTCATACTGTCCCATTAATGACAACTAGGAATAATTTATGATATACCAATATAGTTAAAGTGAGCACTGCTAGCTACCACATGTGAAACATCAGAATTGTGAAGTAAAAAAGCATATCATTAATAAATACTCTAGAAGGCAGGTCTTGTTATGTGACTTCCTGTGGGGCGTTTACCCACCACCCCCACAGCTTCCCAGAGTTTTCTTGAGTGCGATCAGCAGGAAATATTAGATA